CTTTTTCTTTTTTCTGTTCTGCAGTAGTGATTTCCACTAATCTGTCTTCTAGCTCATTGATCTGTTCTTCTGCCTCATTTAGTCTATTCTTGGTTCCTTCTAGTGTGCTATTCATTTCAGTGATTTTATTCTTCAACTCTGTTTGGGTATTCTTTATATTTTCCAACTCTTTGCTAAAAACTTCACTCTGTGTATCTGTACTCCTCTTGAGTTCTCTGAACATCTTGGCCATCATTACTTTAAACTGTTTCTCAGATAAATTACGTATCTACTCATCACTTACTTCTTCCTCTGGGATTTTATCTTGTGCCTTGGCCTGGGAGAGGTTCCTTTGCCACTTCATATTGTCTATCTTTCTATGTGTTTGTGTATTCCTTCCACAGGCTTTGGGATTGCTGTTTTCTTATTTCTAGTATCTGCCCTTGGTGGATGAGGCTGGACTAAAGGCTTATGCAGGTTTCCTGGCAGGAGGAGCTGGTGCCTGCCAGCCGCTGGGTGAAGCTTGGTCCTGGACCATTGGTAGAGCTGTGTCTAGATGCCTTTGTGGCTTAGGAAGTCTGATGATGGTTGGGGCTGTGTAACCACCCTGTATGTTGTTTGGCCTGAGGCTTCCCTACAGGCTCTTTGGTAGGGCTAGGTCTTGGTGCTAATGATCCAATCAAGATGTCAGCCTCCAGGAAAGCTCATGTAGATGGACACTCCCAGAATGTTTGCCATCAGCTTTTATGTCCCCTGGGTGAGTCTCAGCCATCTACCACGTCCCCAGGAGACCCTCCAAATCCAGGAGGCAGGTCTGGCCCAGGTTCCTATGAGATCACTGCCTCTGCCCTTGGACATTGCCCACACGAGTTTCTGTGTATGCTTCCCAAGTGAATGGAGTCTCCTTTTCCCCCAGTCCCATGGGACTCCCGGAGCCAAGCCCCACAGACTTTCAAAACCAGATGTCCTGGGGTCTCCTTCTCTTCCCAATGCCAGAACCTGGGCTAGGGAGCCTGACATGGGGCTTAGAGCTCTCTCTCCTGTGAGAGAGTCTCTGAGAATTTATTCTTCAGCATGTGGTTCACCCACCCAGGGGGTATGGGGCCCAATGATATCGCAAGCCCGCCCCTCCTACCATCCTGCTGTGGTTCCCTCTTTATGTTTCCAGTTGCAGATCTTTTTTGCTAAGTTCCAGTCTTTTTATCGATGGTTGTTTAGCCATCAGTTGTGGTTTCATTGTAGTCATGAGAAGAGGCCAGCTTGTGGTCCTAATACTCAGACATCTTGACTGGAAATCCTAGGCAAGATTTTAGAAACAACTAAATGGCATTGGCATCTGGTTAATCAGCCTATCAAATAAATCTATAGACCCTCCTCTCTACCAAATTAACATCTGTTTTGGGACTCTAAGATATGGGAGCTCTTGCTTGATAACAGGGTCCGTCTGTGCCTTGCTATGCTAAATCCTGTTGCTTCTTCTGTGCCTTCCCTTACAGGCTTGTTTCCTCAAACAATGGCCATTACTCCAGCATGTCTTATTCCAAAGATGGACAGGTTAAAAAAAAATTTTGATGGAGGAAAAAGTGCATAGAGTTTGGCACTGGAAGGGAGTTAAGAGCTGTCTCTGGCTCAGTTAAGAATGGCATGAGACGAGACAAGTGTCTGACTTACCATAACCTTGATATTGACTAGAAGAGGCTATTTTATTTCTTTTTTTTTCCCACCTGATGAATTTGTTAACTACTTAATATAGGCCATCCACACTTTCTTCTGGCAATTGTACTTAGCAATGTAGGGAAAAGAAATCACAGTTGTTTGGGGGCTTTTTTTTTTTTTTTGCTTTGCTTTTTTTTTTTTTCTGCTTTTGCTTATCCTTTCCAGAATAGCTAATGGTATGACTATTGTACCTTTGGGAACTGGTAACCAATTAGTGCCTAATGGGTCTGTTGCTACTAGAGTTGTTTTCTGTGAATCTTGTAGAATTTCAGCAGACTCTCTTCTGCTGAAAATGGGGGGATTTACTATTTATTCTGGGTTCTCGCCAAAGTCAACTTACTATCTATAGTAATCAGTGGTTATTTCCATGTGACTCTAGTTCAATCTCAGTCCCATATCTCCTGTCCTGCTTCTCAACCCTTAGCTGCCCTTGGTCAGAGCCCTCATCTTAGAACCCAACAGTATATTTCTAGTTGTTTTTTCAAAAGACAGGTTGTAACATCTGCATAAAATCTCTTCTCTCAGAGGGGGATTGAGTCAATATTAGTCAGTGACAACTATATTTTTTATTCTGTTCCCTTTGGAGGCAACAGCTTAGAATGGGGAGGACAGCCAGAATTCATTTTTTCCATCTTTTCCCCACTTCTTATAGCTCAAGAGTAACTTATTTCCTGGCTAAGACCATTCTTTCCAATGATTATTCAAGAAAGAAAGGAGTGACAGTGACAAGGTGAATTTAGGATCATAAAATGATATCATCCAAGGTACTCTGACAACTGTCTTTCTCTCATGATCATACTATCTTCCTGCAGACTCAGGTTTCAACTATCCTCCTATGTATACACACAAATACCATGGATTACTTTGCCAGACAAGGCTTCCTTTTCCTCAGGCAATAGAACCTGTGAGTACTCAGGTCATGGTTAGAACAGCACAATGACAGGACTCCAGGCTTCAGCAACTACAAGTAAGGGTTTATTTCAGACTGGCTGCTCCACAGTTCAATCCTTGCTTATCCCCAGACACTACTTGTTCTATTATGTAGTGATACAGTAACAGGCACAAAATGGATATAAAAAGGGAGGTAATAATGGGAAGAGGGAGGCAAAAAGTACTTTGGTAGTTTCTGAAGACTAGTAGTGATAGAAGAAAAATTGTTGCTTTATTTCTTCAGACCCTACTCTTTGAGCTAGGGGAGGTATGAGGCCAGGGTTGGGTGGAGAAGGATGTATGGAATATTTTCCTATCTTCTGTCAAGCTGTTCAGATTGCTTTAAGCACCAAATTTGAGCCACAACCAGCCCCACTTGGGTGGGGCATGAGGCATCATTTGCAGGATCCTTTAATGTCTGGGAGACCAAAGCTTAGATTCTCTTGAAGGAGAGACTTACTCATCCTTTTTTGGCTGTATTTAAGGTTAGAAATTTATTAATATCAGTAACAAAAGATCTCTCATGACCCCTTCACTTTCAATTCTAGGTTCAATCCTCTTCCAATATTGAAAGATTCATCTTAACTAGACGTGCTTCAACCTCATAGTGATTTGAAGGTCGCTGCGTTTGTTTTCTAGTTGATCTGTAACAGGATTTTCTGCATCTGCTTTGAGTTGACCTAAAATGTGTTTCATGCATTGAGGGGATTTTTTTTTTTAAAAATGCAAGTTTCAAATCCTGTTCTTGATAGGAAGGCTGAGATATTTTTCACAATTCTCACTTGAATAGATTTTCTCCCCTTTGGAACCATGTAGCTGCAAACAATAAAAAATGGCGAGTTCTTCCCTTTGAATCCAAGGTGACCACGTGCATTAAAATAGCCTTAAGATTATGGGCAAACTGTGGCTCCTCCAAGGCTTTCTAGCCTATTATTTAGGAAAATGCTCATGTCTTCCAACCCCCAAACCCAATAGGAATTCATTTATAATGAGACTGGGTAAGTCACCAAAGGTTGGTCAAACCCACTTCAACCTTAGTTGTAATGTCTAGCATTCATTTGCTTTCTGTGTAACACTGTTGTGCTTACATGCATTTTCTAATTTAAAACCCAGTACACCTCTTTGAGTTAGGTACTGTCATCATTCCCATTTTATTGATGAGGAGGAGGCAAACTTCTCATGACCACAGGTAGAATAGTAACCTGACAATAGACACAAGGTAATATGTGGGCATGGCTTGGCCTGGAAGAAAACAAACATAACTAGGAGCACAGTGATCACTCTATCCTTGTCACATAGAAAATACAAAAGTTGAAAACTAACATCATATACTTTTTTTCTAAATATTCCTGCTGCCTCTTTAAAACTGCTATGTCTGAACTTCCCTCACTAATTGAGACACAGTGAATTTCCTTTCCATTAGGATTACAACAGAATGTGAACTCTAAAAACCAAAGGTACCACAAAGCCAAAAGTGCAAATATGGCAAGAAGACTGGTGAAGTTAGCCCCTGAAGGAACAGAGCTGCCAAAGGAGTCAGAGCCACAGAAGACATCCAAGAATAACTTCAGGAAGAACTCTTTCCTAACCCATTTCCCTTACCGACTCTCCCCTCCACACCCCACTACCCTGACCCTCACTTCCCTGTCCCACACGCCTGGCCTTGCAGGGAAATAGATGTAAGCAACAAAGGCTACCTAGGCCCATTGCCTTTCAGAAGCAACACACCAGGATATGGGTCAGTTTTAGCAACTCACACTCTACTCATTTATAATCACAAAATATGACATATGGCAAGAGTTCTTCAGGCATCAGTATAAAAAGCACAGGTACTGAATAGTTACTTGGCCTGTAACAGCTTAAGGCTTCCTTCCAAAGACATTACTTGCTAGTTTAATTGCCGACAAAGGAGTAGAAACTCTTGTCTATAAACACTGCATTGAGTCATATGCCTCTTTAGTCACCAATCTAATATTTAACCATTCAGAATTCTAGGAACACCAAAGATCCTTTTACCTACTCAAGGATGGGACCTGTTACCTTCTTTAATTATAGTGATTACCTTCCTAAATACATTCTAATTCCCACAACCTTAATATTTTTGTGCCTTGTTCCTATCCCACCCCTGTTCAATAGTTTTTTGCTTCTCATATTTTTTACTGGGTTTGTTTCTCAGTATCCCTGATCAAAGCAACTGAAGCTGGAAAAAATGAGACCTTAAATCATTAACCTAAGTTGAGTGGCATTGGTGGTATAGTGGTGAGCATAGGTGCCCTCCTAAGTTGGGTGATTAAGATATTAAAAAATAAAAATCTGAGGCAACTAGTATGGTTAAGAAAGGATAGTGAGGTAGAACTTGTTACATCAAATTACAAAGTTTTCAAAACAGTACTTTATTTGACATTAAACAACAAACTCCCCAACTTGTCTCAGCTGTGACATATAGATGCTTTTAGATTGCTTTTTGGTGGTCACCCACGCTGAACAAGATTTTTCATTCTTTAAAACACCCAAGGCTCAGAGATTGTGCGTTTCACATCAGTTCACAATTCCAAGTGTGTCTTCCATTCATCGGAGCATTTTGGCATAGAGTCCCTTTGAAGCAGAAGGGTAGAGATGAAGCCATTCTCTTTAAAAGAATGTATTGTTCACCACTTCATTTATGCCACAAAAATCAGATGATAGCATGTTTTCGTATTCTTATTTATCAGTAGTGATAGTCTTGGGATGCCAGAAACTGTGAAAGGAAGGCTTTTAATTACTTTCTCCTTTCCATTTTCCAATAATGCACCCCCACCCCGACCTGAAGAGAGGGGAGTTACTGAATCGAGCTGATACCATGTATCAAATGCTAAATATTAATGTCAGATGTACCTGATGCCTAAATCAAAATGTACAAAGCAAAAACTAGAAACATCACTCTCAAATCCTCTTCAACTTTGCTCCCTCCAGCAGCTATCCTTTACCATTCATCTATTTCCTTATCAAATTACAGATGTCATTGTTGGAAGCCATGTAAACTAAAGTTTAGATGCTTTGAGTATGTATGAATTACAGTGAACAATAGTGTCCTCTTCCTTTGCAGTGAATTTTGACATTAGCTTTAAGACCACCTTATGATTTATTAACTATCACATTGATTTAATACATTCCTTAATTATCTAACCCAAGGCTTACCATTCAGCCAAAAATTCTTTCTCAAAAACTTATAGAAATGAGTGGAGACAAACAGCTTTGTCCTCATAACAGCAATGACCAGTTATTGAAATTGCATTAAACTAAAAACAGCAATCCCAAACTTAGAGCTGGAGGTAGTAATGCTTTTAAGACCAATCCAGTACAAAGGCAGGCTGCCCTTAGAACCAGGTTTGACCTTTTCTTTCACTCTTCCTCCTATCCCACCCTCTGTGAGTGATTTAAAAATAGAAAAGGCCAAAGCCCATTTGGGCCTAGATTTAGATTTTTTTGTTTTTTTTCTCCAATTTTTGCCAATTAATTCCAGTTTTTATTATTCTTAAAACTTGAGCAAGGTAGAATTGTTAAGCCATTTTTCATTCACTGACATAAGTCCTTTCTTAAGCAGGTTTTTGATGGTGAGGAGATGCTCTCTAAGTTGTAAGTTGAGAAACTGTTGCAAAAAAAGAAATCATGTCTCCATCTCCAAACCTGCTATGTACTATCTGAAGATTGTTTTTTAAAGAGATTTATATAGGCAGTTTATATTTGTCAGAACATAAAAGGTAAAGAACTGAAAACAGACAAAACTGGTATGTTTCAAAACCAATTGCGGCTTCAGTACAAGTGGTTCCCCAAGGCTGGCACCAGTGAGGCTGAGATTTGGAAATCAGTTGTTTCTCATCCCTCCATCTGCCCACCAATGGTCACAGCCATTTTTCATGAGGGATAGGTTAGGAAAACGAAGTGCTTATTATAAGACGGGTTCCTGCAACTTAAGGAGCAAGCTCATTAGAAAACCCTGCTTATGGTAGTGGCCAGAGTGGGAGAAGAAACATAGAGTAGGAATTAAACCACACAATATTATTAAGGAACTAAGCTATGTCTCTAGCCAGAAAACAGGCCAAAAGGCAAATTTTAGAAGTTCTCTGGAAAGACATTCATTTTTTCATGTCTCTGGGGCCAACTGAGAACCTAGTTCAGGAGCTTATACACAACAGGCAGTCAAATATACTTGTAGAATGAATGAATAAATGAAAAACATGAATGAACAGTAATCTCTCCTCTTATATTAACTTGCTAGTTTCCAAGTCAAGTGAGTGTCTTCCAGCCAAAATCCTTGTTTTTTGTCTAGGAATTAATGCAATGTCTTAAAATACACACTTCTGTTTATAATGAAGAGTTTCACTCCATTTCTTGTTTTTTTTTAAAATTATATTTCTAAGATAGACTAACTGCATTTGTACCAGATCTATTTCATTTAGCATCACCTTCTTCAACATTTATATGAATGAATACATAAAAAGCTTTCTTATTTCTACTCTATCAAACATGCCAAAGAGGTGATCAATTTAATCATTTCATCTCAGAGTCTTAGTATCACAGCTGCTCAATGAAGTTTTTACAACTAATGAAAGAACTGTGGTCTCTTATTAAATTTGTTGTTGTGTTTCCTCCATAAGCTAGTGAGATTAAAGTATATTTTGATCTAGGTCTTTGAAATCTCTTCATTCTCCTCAGCACTTAAGAACAGTACTTCATTAAAGTGAATGATTTTTTTTGTAAAATATGGAACATCTAGGAAGATTTTTGTTGTTGTTGTTAAGTGGCTTCCTGACTTTATGCCAGGCCAATGAGCAAATACTTTTAAAACTAGTTGTTTCATCTTAATTTTCTTCATAAACCATTTAATTATAATAAAAGCAGAATGTTAAATTAAAGAATTAAGGACAAAGGCTGAGTCCTTTTATCAGCCTTCTGGCTTCAATTTTGATAATGAGCAAGTGACAGTGGGACTTTCTAAAGCTAGGAAAAATGTCACTTTATATTGGAAGAACTGAATCTTTTTTTTCCTATTTTTTCAATCTCCAAGGTAAGTCAACAGGTTTTCTGGACCAGACCTAACAACTAATTCATCCAGAGAACAGGCACTCAAATATTTACTCAAAAATCAATGATGATTTTGGACCTTCAGCTATGATCTGTGATCTATGTCCTTTAGACTAGGCCCATTTCTCTGTCTGAGCATACTCAGGACTGAGAATGTTGTATTCCACATAAAGGATGCTCTGTTTATCAAATTAATATAAAAGTCAACCTGAGCTACTTATTTTTACTCCTTTAATGTCTCTAAGCCAGGCCAGGGTGGATCTCATTCACCTCCATCTTTAGCATTCAGCGTTTAAGAGACTGATGGAGAACCACAACACCTTGCTTTAAAAAAAAAAAATCCCATTTCTTTGGTCAGGCCAGGGAGTAAGCAGCCTTCTGGTCTGGATTTTATCTTCCCACTTAGCTCAGCATTCAGCATGCTGCCTTGCACAATTCCACTTTCTCCATGTTTTCATCATCAAATAAGCTTGGCAGTGGTTAAGTAACTTTTAGTCTGGATTCCCACACCTATTACCTCATTTCCTCCTGTGAGCATCTCATAAGGATAGTCATTTTTATAGCCTAGGGTATGCACAGTTCTGGGCCTCTAAGAAAGTAATCAGTAATCATTCATTAAGCCAACAGTTAATTCCTTATGTCTGTATAGAACAGTAGGTTTTGTAAATTCAGACACAGATCTTTGTTGCAGGTTCAATAATAATGACAATGAATTTTTGCATCCCCATTTGCTATCTCTGGGGATAAGAGAGAGTAAGTAATCAAAGTTCATTTGGCAGCTATGGCTTATATATGTATGCCAGTTTAAGACTTAAATTGATTTTATATATTACTTTTTGCTACCCAGAACACAATAAAGATGGATTATCTTCATATTCCTGATGCCGATCAAGGAAATTGGCACATAATAGATGATTATTAACCAGTCTTCCATTCATTGGACATTTAATCCTTTACATGTCATATTCAAAGTGTTCAATAGTTAACAATTTTTCTTCAAATTTTTTTCTGATTTTTTTCATAGTATAATTAACTGTGATACAATTTTGTAAGCCTAGTACTAGGCACACCAAATAAGAAAATCAATAGGTACATTTATATGGTGTTTTAAAATTCACATAATGCTAACATATGCATTGCCTTATTCTCAGCTATAGGCATAATAAAATGATAAATCTGTGTATCTCTTTAGTGCCTCTAACAGTGAGTTCACATAGTAGGCAACTAATATTAATAATTCATTCATTTAACAGGTATTTAAACCTCCAGTTTGTATAACTATTTATACTGCCTTTCTCATAGTGGGTCAAACACACAGTGAGAATTTTGTAGAGACAATGTCTATCTCACATAAGTTTTATTCACACAGAAAACATCTAATGTCTTAAATTTATATAGCACTTTGCAGTTTAAAAAGCTCAATCTCAATCATTATATTTTCCTTGGGAAAATTTATTACTTGGGAAATACATTCATTGCTTGGGGAAATATACTGGTAATAATTAAATTTGGCATCACCAGTAAATTTTTGATCGATTAAAATAAGCAATATCTAATTCCTTACATCTGAATAGTATAAGACATAAACCTCCCTCATTACTAGAGAGCATTATCCTGGATTTCACAGTACCTGAAAAACAATAGCTGGCACATATAAGGCAATTAATATTTATTAATTCATTCAGAAACATATAGCCCATTGGTATTTATAAAGTGCTTTAGTTTACAAAGCACTTTAATATGTACTTCCTATCTAAATTTTTAAATTCTATAATGAGAACTTTTTTTCCTTTGACATCTGCAGTGCCTAGTATGGTATCTGGCACATTATATGTGATCACATTAGCTTAATCCCTTGTGTTTGCTGTATATTTTATAGTTTAAAAGTAGTTTTTATGTTTCCTTTTCTGCTACATGAAATACTCTATTTTTACTCAAAATCACCATAGCCACAGAAACATTATAGCCACAAACACATGAATTATTTGTTTATCAAACACTTAATTCCTAATACCTTTATAGCATTACATGCTTTTGACAAAGCACTTTATTCATGCTTCTTTTATGCTTTTGCATCCACAGTGCCTAGCAGAGTAGAATGCATATACTATGTAATCAATATTCATTCATCAACCCTAAAACTTGTAAGTCATTAAGTGCTTTATACTTTACAAAGCACATTCATGTATTTTTCTTCAGTTCACCTGGACAGGGTCATAAATAATCACTGAATCTTTAATGCCTAATACAAGGACGAGCATACAGAAGGAAATTAATATTGTTCAGCACACAGTCCCTGGCAATTACATTATGGCATTACTGTGGTCCATAGACCAAATTCAGTTGGTTCATGAGCTAAGAATAGTTTTTCTTTTTTGAAGCATTGTTAAAAGAGGCAACAGAGACCATATGGCCTGCAAAGCCTAAAATATTTACCATCTGACCCTTTACAGAAAGGGTGTGACACTGATTGACATAGTGGTTTACAACTGACAGTGAATTTTTAAATATTAGCTGCACATGGATGCCAATACACTATTAATGAGAATGCCTTGCTTTTTTGTTTTATAGTACTTTCATATAGATTCTCAATCATTTAAATTATCTTCCATTATGATAAGGGAAAAGAAATCAAGGAAAGGATTAAACCTACTGAATAATCCCAAGTTTTCTCACCTTTAAGCCTAGACGTGGGTATTAAACCCAGGGGCAGGACTGGTGCAGTTTATCAAATTATTAGGCCACTACTATGAGCAGGGAGTTCAGACTATCTCCTCAGAGCTCACTCTGTCCCAGGCCTAATCATCTTTTTTCATAACCATCACTAGGAATCCCAAACCTCAGGAATCCTGCTCACCCAAGCTCAAAGAAGTAAGGTGTTGCTGGCTGGTGCTTCTCAGCAGGATGGCACATCTGCTTATTTCTTGTCTAATTCTTCTCATTGGCCTGGAGCATCTCTTCACATTTTCTCTAGATAGCCTGGCACTTCCCCCACCCCAACAGCCTGATGCTTTCCTCTTCTCATCAGCCTAGAGCTTCTGAGGAAAATGGAGGATTGAAATACAATGTAACCAACCTATGTGTGTCTCTTTCAATTGGAGCGGAGGTGAAGAGAAATGAAAATTTAAAAAACACCAAAAACTGAATAAATGGCAGAAAAGTGTAATAAAACTGGCTTAAGACTGGCCAGGCATAATATTCCAAATCTAAAGATATGTTTTTGGAAATAGACATCTCAAAGAAAGTGGGTTTAAATGGAGATATGAGAACAAGAAAGGGAGAACTAAAAAATATCCAAGAGTAGAGTAGAACTGGGGTTTAAGGTTCTCATCTTGGAATTTCCTTTGGTCTTGGGGCTTCTATCCTTCCTGGATGCTGGGTCATGGGCCTCCAGCTTCCCACCTACTTTAGTCTTGAGATATCTATCTCTCTCAGGCCTTCTGTCCATACAGACAGGCTTGAGTCCTGGATCCTTATGTGAGCCTGGGGCCTTCCATCCGTTGCGTCATAGGGCTGCAAGCTAAGGCTTTTTAATCCCGTCCTGGGTCTTTGGCCTTCTGTCTCACTCGAGATTTGAGTCTTCCTTACAACTCCAGTCAAAACCCTTGGGCTTTCTTTTGGTCTTGGATCATCTCATGAGGCAGTGTGGCATGAAGAACAGCTCTGCCATGCTTATTTTGATGGCTGACACTCTGCACCTATTGGGAAGGGGTCAGGAAGCCCCCTTCTTTACAAACACACACACAAGAGCACAGACACAAATGCACAAAAATTATGCAAGGAGAGAGGACTGAATGAAATCAAAGACGGGGAGACACAGACTCAAGAAGAGGTTGAAACACTCAGAGGTGAGTAGAAAGGGAAAAGCAGAGAAGAAACAAGAGAACAAAGAGATTAATGCTGAAATGGAAAATCACAAAGAGCAAAGAAACACTGGGGCACACAGAGCAGGAAAAAAAAGAAAGAAAATGGCCCAAGAGAGGCAGTAAGAATATGTAGAAAAGAGAAAGGTGAGATAAGGAGTAGAAACAGCCAAAGGGTGGCCAGTATTAGAAAAGGTGAAATGTGAAACCAACAAGAAGGGGAGGGGGTGACGAACAATTACAGTTCACAGAGAGAAAAAGAAGAGAAAAAAGCATAACAAGAAATAAGAAAAAGGCACACGGCACATGACTCAAGAGACACAAAGGGAAGAACAAAAGAAGGGCCAGATCCAGGAAAGCAAGGAGAATCAGTAACAAAATGAAAACTAGAAGTAGAGAGAGACATCTAAGACAAGACACAGACCACTTAAGAACAAAAAAGAAAATAAGAAAAAGATACACAGAGAAGCAACCAGCGAGAGAATGATGGAAATGGGTAAGACACACTTTAGTTAGACAAGAAAGACCAAAGACATTCAAGCAAGAAATAGACAAGCAGAGAAATACACACTTATGAGTTTAAAAGATAAGCAAAGGCAGACATTCAGTGGAAGAGGGTGAGAAATAAAAGAGACATAACACAATGAGGAGCACAATAGGCATGAGAAGGAGCACAATAGGCATGAGAAGCAGCACAAAGAGAAGACAACAAAAGAAAACAAAAAAGTACATTAATAATTATAATAATTTATTAGTAGTACCAACACTATTTATATGACTACTACTAGTAATAATAATAGCAACAATAGTCACCACCAACACACACACTCTTCTACTTACAAACTTTTAACTTAGGAATTTCTTACATAGAACTAGAACACACCAACTCTGTGCCACCAGATGATATTAGTGGGCACTTATATTGTGTCACATGAACCTACGAAGCTTCTTAGGCTACCTTTAACCTAGCATGTGCCAGGTAATGTACTAAGCTCTGTACATACATGATTTCATTTAATCTTCACAGACAAGTCTAGTCATAGACTGTTCACCTGGTGAGTAGCAGAGGATTTAAACACAGAATGTGTGCCTCTTAACATTCTGCTACAACTGTTTCCTAGGATTTTTAGAAGAGCCAAACAAGGTGCCACAGAAGAGTGAATATTATAATAAAGGACACTTAGAGAGCACCGAGTCAATCCCCTCATTATCTATCTTCACTATTCCCCATCCCTTTAGAAAACTAACTTGATTTTCACACCCTTCACAATTATAATGGCAGCTTCCAGGACTGGGTTTTCTTTCTTCTTTTTTTAAATGTATATTTTTAATTGAAGTATAGTGAATTGTATACTTCGTTGTAATGTTGTGTTAGTTTCTGGTGCACAGCATAGTGATTCAGTTATACTATATATATATATATCCTTTATCATGTTCTTTTTCATTGTAGGCTATTACCAACAACGTTTTAACACTAAAACTTAACTGTAGATACTCTCACAAGAGGAAGTAAGAAAGGGCCACCCTTTCAGCAAAAACCAAAAAACTTTTTTTGGTTTAAGTTTCTATATGTTTAGGCCTCTAAGGGTGGCCAAAGATCTATGCAGTGAAGATAAGGAACAGACAAGGTGGGAATTACTTTGTGATAAATTGGTATGCAGATTGTATTATCTTTGAGTTGCTTCAGGGCACCCAGTTGATAATATAGGTTACTGGTCATCCTCCCATCTCACATTCTGCTCCCTTTCCACATTAGGTCACCATACACCATCCCACACAAACCTTCAACAAACAGCTATTAGCTCTAAAGTGATCCTCACAGGATTACACCACCAACAACTTACTTCATTCTGCTATTCTAAAATGCTAGAGTGCCAGGCATGTTGATCTCCTTTGGTGTGTTCAAGTTTCTTGCTCTCTGCACTGCTTCTGGGAAGGATACTGACTTGGCAGACATGAAGGGACTAATCAGGAGCTACAAAAAACAATAATGAAACTGTGTAAACATAAAGTATTAACTGGGTACTGTGATAGAGTTATGGGAAGAGTCAAATTAAAGAGCTATCTCTACAGAGCTTAGAAAAGTATAAAGTTGAAACTTTTAGGTCCTTAGAAATAAAACTAATACAACTGCTCCATTCAAAAGAATAGGAAATTGTGGCATAAATAGGAAAATGTCTTGCCTAACAACACTCGGTGAGCCACTGGAAATACCACCATTAATCACAGCCTTATTCCTTTAGCTGGATACTAATCTGTACAAAGCTGGTACAATCAGGACTTACTACACTGAATGGTTACCTCTATCTCCCAAAGTGCATCCCCTTAATAAGCCTCTCTCATCACTGACCTAGAGTACGCAGGGTGCTGTTTCTTTAGATTGAGCCTGATGATAACTCTGTGCCATCTCCACTCAGGTTCCCATTCGTAGTTGGAAGGCTTCTGTCAATTAGTAAGCACAGCATAAAAAAATACAGCTCTGTTTTATCTTCTCAAACAGGTTGTTTTTTGTTTTGTCCCACAGCTATCCCAAGGCATTTGAAGTATGTAAATAATTGGTGAAGTTCTCCAACAGGGCCTCAAGGGAGATGTTGAGGTTCAGAGGGTCCAGAATGATGACCTGTCCATGATCAATGTCACAGATGTGGCAGTTTTGTTGGTGTTCTCCTAAAAGAAAGAAAATTTTAGCTGTAAGCCTCTATCACATACTACAGTCCCACCCTAAACATTCTAACTCACGCAGCCTGCTCTTCACATCATTGTTTTCACCTATCATCTTAACACCAGTTGCTTTCCAGGTTAATTAGGAAGCAGTTTTTACCAAAGCAGACATTGTTGACAATAATAAAAAACAATCTAAATGGAAAACTAAGTGCAATATATACTGAAAAACAAGATCAAAATTAAAGACTACTATGCTTTTACGGACAGCCTACCCACCTCTGATGTGTGGTGTTTGTCTTGACGCTTCAATCTTCCTATCTGGGCCCAGATAAGAATCTTGGTAGAGCCTCCTGGCCTAGGGTTGTTGCCCAGTGGTAGTGAGCTTTTCCCCTGGAGGATCCTCATGCCCCATCTCCACCCAGGGAATCGTCAAAGGGAATGGGTCACTAACACTGTAAAGCAACAAGCCTATTCTTCTGAGGAAGATCTGGAGAAGAGATAAAAGAAAAATAAATTACTGAAATGCAGTATATTGTGAAAGTCTGTCTCAATGAGCAACTAGTGATTAAATTAAACTATGTCTCTCCTTTTTTGGGGGATGGATTGAGGAGTGGAGATTTAGAAACATACAGAGCTCTGAATTCTAGCTACCAGCTTAGCAACATGCAGATCATTCTATTCATTCCAACTCCATTCCTTGGACTTCCCTTCATCCCCAAGAGCAGACTGGAGCTGAATAATTACCAAAGTTCCCATACTGTGTTTCTTCTCCAGTCTCCACTGATGAATAACCCTCTAGAGTGTGAATTTTTAATATCCTGGTGTTCTCATAAAATATAGTGGGGGTCAAGATATTAAAGGGTTGAAAATAATAAAAGGAGAAGCTAAAGCTTTCTCAACCAAGAGAGCCATCAAGCCACTTTAGAAAAGCTCCAATGTGGTCTGACCATATAAGTTCTGTAAAAATTCTTCACATTGCCTCAGGCTTCTTTTTCTTATAAACCACTGTTTTAAAAATTGAGCAATCTACCCCAACCAAAGTGCCTCTCTCTCACATAGTTTTGCAGCATTCCCCTCTTTTAATTTGTATATAAAGTAGTAAGATGCTGGAGCATTGCCAAGTTAAACAGAATTGTTTTTTACTCAACCTACATGGTATATTTCTTGAACAGCTTACATAAACAGGTTGCCACCAGAGTGCCAGAATATTCAGAAAAATCACGAATGGCTTACAAGCATGTAAAACCCCAATTATTACAACAGCTAAGCAAATCAGTGTGAAAGGAAAAACAAGGTACAGAAGGCGAGGGATCCAGTAAATAGTTTACACAGGCCCTTGGGTCTCTATTATTCTACCCTTTGGCAATTTCATGGGGAAAAAACCCTTCAACTTCTTAAAACAAGGCAATAACAGTATCCATGGAATCAGTCCGGCCAAAACAGGGCTGTGACACAGATCTTTGGTAGTACTCATTAAGAAATCTTCTGCACTTACTAACAATCTGCCTGAGGAAGGTGGAAATAATTTCAAGGCCCACTAATCAGAAGGCATAGGTTCGCATGCTCTCTCTCCTTAGTAGCTATGAGATGTAAAAGGAAATAATTTGTTGATTTGAATCTCTCATTCTTCATTTATGAATGAGGATCAAGTATGCATACCCTTAACAGACCTCACTGGAGCCAAGCTCTGAGGAACAATTAAAATAGGTCAAATTCATTCTGGAAAGTTAAAGTGTATATCTATATGCCCCCCCCAAAAACTCTGTAGGAACTGATGAAAACTAGCTCACATTCTGTTTTAAAAAGAAGAGCTATAGGAAGTTAAAGACCTTAAACCCCAAAACAGAATTCACACAACAATGAGCTCCCTAAACTACCTTTTTCTCCAGGTAGTGTGCAAGCCATCCTCTTAAGATTGTTTGGAGCTTATCCAGATTCTCAAAAGGAAAGACCTGCTGAAAAGTGGAGCTTCTTAGAGCTGCTTGCAGTCCTCAGGTCTCACATGCTTGGAATGTCCTTGAGAAGAAAGACAGGGCTCAGTAACATACCAAAACTGTTGAGAAAACCTCAACAACAAGAAAAAAACTAAGAAGCGTTCACCTGAAGCATTAGATATAGATGTCTCCCATCTCTCCTCTCTAGCCTGTTGTCTCCCTAAGGTCCTGTAATGCTAAGCACTGGCAGTATCACAGAAGGACTAGGCAAGTATAGAAAAAGAACTAAATGAAAATATGGGTCAAACCGATAACCACCATAGGGCTGACTAAATTTGTGGCCTAAAGATCATCTTCTTGCTGAAAATACTTCAAGAGGCAAGGTAGCAGAGCAATCAGTACTACTGGCTGGAAGTGTAATTGCCTTGAGCAGTTTTAATAATTGGCTAACTGCCCTTACTATACACTGAAGCAAATCTAAGCCAGGTTTGTAATCTTGTAAGCACTTTGTAGGGTATGGTATGGTGTGGAAAGAGCCAGGTAGGGCTTCCAGAGTCCTGATCAAGAACTGCCATATTTTAAGGACCTTTATGGCAATATCAAACAAATTCTAGTATGTGAAAGATCACTTACTCCACTCTATTCTTTAGCTAAGATGTCCAGTAAAGCCAAACTCGTGTTCTATGATGTTCTCAATATGAGAACAAGCTTCAAAGTCTTTCAGCAACACCCTTCCCCATCCTTATTTAACCTAAGATTAGATACTTCATCCCTAAATATAGACTTCCAGCTGAACATGGCAGTTCATACGTATTTATACATATTTACTCTGCTCCTTCCTGAAACCCCATTAATGATGGCAAATGGATACTTCATATGCAATCAAATTCACCCAGAGAATTTTTAAATTGATGAATCTAAGCGCAAATTCATTTATACACTGCCTAGTTAAGGTACCTAACAGGAAACAACTATTTCAGTCTCCTCAGATCTTCTGAGTCACTCTGAGCCATACTTACTGAGCATGGCTCTTTAGCATGAAAGCCCCCTGGTTTGTTAAATTCAGCAGTTCAGCTCAGTTTCATACAACTACTTGAGATTCGATTTGATTTGGATTTTGAAGGACACCAGTATTAAGTGCTATGTGTCTGTAGCCAAAAACATGGGCGTGGGAAAATAAAGTTTTCTTCCAATCCAGTCTTTAACACTTGAAGCAGAGGACGGCATTAGCTCTGTTTAGTCATACACATTGGTACTCTTTGCTGTCTAAGCTTATAATGTTTGGGGAAACAGTTATTTCAGTTGAGATATCGGTTTCCTTCTCTTTAAGCTGGTAAAAAGTTTTGCAGGATGTTTTCACATATAAGAATATTTTAGCAGCCACCATAGATCAACTGTTAATTCTTTACTTCAAGTCACAAACTCCCATCCAGGTGTACATCTAATGATCAGGGCCCAGATACCCTGAAAAGGAATTATTAATGCTTAATCATAGCAGCCATGGGTCTTAAGATCTTTTGTAATTTAGAGAAATGGTTAGAGAAATGTGTAGATAAGTTATAGAAATATAGTACAAAAGCTCATGGGGGATATGGAAAAAGGTGCACAAAACCCAGGGCCAGAAAACTCCCTCCAATCCTAGATATTAAAATTCTATAATGAGAAAACTCAGAAAAGAAATCACAATAATCATTTAGAGAAATGCCAAAAAAAATTTTAAGTGCTTTCTTTGACACTTTGAAAATAACAAAATATCATTTTCAGGGGTTGATTTATTCAGTTCTAGTCCCTGTCAGTTCATCAGCAGTCCCTAGACACTAAAATTGAGATGGATGGTAATTTGATCCAAGGGCAGAGCCAGGACCAAAGGCTAAGTGTTCTTATTTCCAGTTCAGAAATTTTTAAATAATTTTGCCAGCATCTCACTCCTTCTGCTCCCAAACCCATGAAAAAGAATAGTGATTCATTCACTCCATCTAAGAAAACTAGTGCTTCATTAAAATACATTTGCAAAAAACAAGGAATACTACAGGAGTGCTTGTAAACCCTCAGCTTACATAGCCCCTGAGCTGACTGATCAAAGTGCTCCCTAGGCACACCCTGCATTTTCCCTTTGCCATCACTTTGCTTAGTAAGAGCATTTTCCCCCCACTCTTCTTCCTCTTTGCCCCACAGAACTTCTCAAAAATTTTATCATCAAATTGCCCAGCACCATAATGATCTGTTCAATTCTACATCCTCCATAAGATAGCAAATTCCTTGACAGGAACCAAGTGTTTTATTATTTACTCCAGTGCCTGGTCCAATAAATATTTGTTGAACTAACACAAGGATTATCTCAGTTTTGAAGATGCTCACATTCCCAGAGCATTCTTTTTGCAACTGCTAGAGATTTTATTTCAAGCAATGAACTGAAATACAATTCCAAGATTCACCTTTGTATGCTGTCCAGTGCAGGCTTCAATCCACCTAAAACTGATCCATCTTTCCTCTTGAGTGGGGGTACAGAACCAGCTCAAAATTCATCCCTTTAAAACAAATTCCAATAGTTATAGTTGTACATTAATATTGAATGATAATTTGATTGGTAGCAATAAAAGATTTCATAAGCATAGACCAGTGTTTCTCAAATTGGGGTGATAAGAACCCTGGGGGTTTGTGGATATATTCTCATGGATTCCCCAAGTTCTACTATATAAGATACCACATATCTTTGACAAAGATAGCTTGAAATTGGAAAACATGTTTACATTTCAAATAACTTCCTTAAGTCAGCATTCCTCAAAGCACATATTCCTTAGGATCTCAAAAAGTTTTGTTTCTTTAAAAGGTGTTGCATCCTGACAAATTACTTCAGTTTGAGAAACAATGGCATTGACCACGTTTCCAAGAAGGCTCAGGACCATTCATATATTACCCTCAGTCAGTCAGACAAATAATGTCTTCAGGCATTGTGGCGGGGTTGGGGTGGGGGGGTAACTGTGAGGAAATATGGATATGAATTAAAATGGTCAGTAAGAGAAGCCCAGCTCATTAATATGATTCTTCTTGCCCCTGCTAGGATACATGGTTATGCAACAAAAAAAGTTTCAAATTTGATACTAATATTGTTTCAGCTGGACCTTTGTGTTCTTTTTACAACTAGGAGGCTAAGCTTTTTAGCTTACCAAAATATCTGTTGAAAAAGGTGAAGGAGAAGAGGTATATCAACTTCATCATAAAGTAGGCAAGGTCACAGTTTTCTTATAAAACATACTTCTCCTTTGCCCTATTGCCCAATAGTTTCCACAAATATTTCAAACTAAAAAGGCATTGCTATGCTATTCTGTACTTGGGAAGAGACAGGATAAAAGGGGTACAAAGATCTAACCTATCAGATTTATACCCCTAATCTTTGAAGCTTGAAAAGCTCAAGCTTAAGAGAATTAACAATCAACAATTTGCCAGTCTTGGCATATAGTCAAGCACAATGGCTAAGCCTTATCTCTAATTGTTTTCCATGCCTCCATAGAGGTAAAAACCAAATGACATTAAAATAAACCAACTGTACTACACAGATGGCTGCAGTATTAATCATATCTTGGACCAAAGACAAAAACCCACTTCCTTTAGGTTTACCCTATCATCTTCAAACCCTAGTGAGCTACCTTTTTAAAATTTTATAATTCACACAGGACAGCACTTGATTATCATTTCCTAAAGTTATTTCAAGTATGGTTATATTAGCTTCTAAACAATACAATCATCTTGGGGATGAAATTATATAAAACTGTATCATTTCTAGCCTTCACTTCAGCGTAACCTAGCATAGGGCCAGGTACACAATATTAACTCTATAATTTTGTTGATAAACTCATATGGTGGTATATAAATTGCAGATGAGGTAGAAACAGGGAAGACTTATAGGACCCTCTGACTTTTCTATGGGTAGTATCTAAGAGAAAGAAAATAGAACAGGAAAAGATTACTTAATAGCTACAAAGTAGTACTTACAGTATTCTAAAGAGCCAGAGACTCTTCTTACAGCGGTCCAAGGAGCTAGTACTGCACCCTGAGCTGGGACGATCTTTTGACATCCTTCTCAGAGAAGAGTATCCTTTTTCAGTGGTTACAAAGGACTGCTGTAGTGATAACTAGTTATTTGCTTCAGCAGTTCCACATTAAATACTTCTCTGCCACCAAACACCCTGTACACTAGAGGCTGGGATATTATTCATTTTTACCAGACAACTATCCCACTGTTGAAATTTATATCCAAAAGAATGATTAGATCATGGGTTATTTTTCTTTTAATATAAAACGGCGAAACCGATCCCATCATTTCTAACTCTTCACTTTGGTGTGGTGCTTTAGGCTACTTTAAATTAGCAGAATTAAACAGGGTGAGTTTTATGTAATAGATTACTCAATTAAGGTGATCTATGGTTTTCAAAAGCACCTCAGCTTATGTTCTGTCATTTTATCCTTTTATAGCAATCTTCTTGCAATAAAGGAGGGGCTGGTTGGTGCTCCAGTTGGAAGAAACTTAAGATTAGGAAGTTTAGGTAGTTTTTCTGAAAGTGAATAGTGGTAAAGCCCAAACAAGGAATGGTTTGAAAATGGTTGTAGAGCCCAAAGATACAGATCTTAAGAATTCCATTCTAGAACTCCTTTGGTAATAATAAAATATCAAACTCACAGTGGTCTATCCACAGACCCACCACCCTTAGTAAAATGAGAGACACTGATCATCAGGTACACGGTATAAATGGGGTTTTAGACTTCAAAAATTCAATGACCAGTTTATTAATTCCACCTTGCAATCCCAATGTCTTTCTTAAAAAATAAATTAACAGCAACTTTTTAGTTGTATTCTGGCAATTGGCACTGTATAACAGCAATATACAAGAGAGGAGCAATTCTTAGCCAGGCAATCTGCTCTGGAAGGAAGAATGCAGAGACAGCACTAACCTTCCTTCCTAGGGAGACAATTTTCAATTGATACTTTATGTAATGAAAATCCAAAATAAAGGGTAGGAGTCCAGTTCCCTTAGGTCTGACTTGCCTTGAACATTTTGCCTAGTGAAGCAGTAACAGAGAGGGGGGCAAGAATGGTTCTTGTCCCCAGAATGTGACAATAATTGGAACTGGGATCATCAACAAATGCAGGAAAAGGAGTGAAGGCCCAGCTACCTAGTTCAGGCCTACTTTTGATAGTCAATGCTGCACAAATACAATATCAAAGTGGTAGGGAGATCTTGGGCTGATGGGCTGAAAAATGGGACAATCAATATTGTGTTAATTAATAACACAGAAGGGGCTTTGGGTGGTCAGCACTTCTCAGAAGAAATGCAAAGAAGGAAGTGGAAGTGTCCGTGTCTGATGGGTGGGACCAAGGAAAGTGCAACTGAGGCATCACAGTAATTCAAAGTGGGCAAAACAATGACATCTGGGATTGTTATCATTTTAAGTCCAAGACAAAAGAGGCTTGCCCAGTCAATATTTCCCAGCAACAACGCAAAAGGGGCAGGGCAGGGGTTGGCGGCTGGGGTGGGAGGGGCAAGGGAGCGCAATCTTATCTGGATACATGGACACCTGAAATTGTGAGCATTAATAGTCCCTAAGAAGGGTCCAAGGGCAAGCAACGGGTGTGGAGAGGGAAGATATGGGTAAGACCATTTGATACATTGGAGCCAATGCAAAACGAGTGGGACTATGGGTCACTGTTTGGTGGACAAGTTCATTGCATACTGCAGTGTTTATACTTTATTCTGCCATGGGAAATTGGGGCTGGGAGTGCTTGTCTAACAAAGCCAGGGAGGAAAAACCCATTGCTAATTGCCATTGTGCCCATTAACAGTCCCAGTAGAAGCTTTCTGTGGTCAGCAACCCCTGCAATAATGCAAAGAGGGTGCAAGGGGATGGTGTGTTACTCTAATAGAAGGGGGAATAGATAATTGCAAACATTCATATTAATAGTTAAAAAAAGGGCCTTAGTACCCTTGAAGTATGCGAGGAGGGTACAGGAGTCCTATCTAATGGTCAGTACTTTTGATATGTTATTGATGCATATTAATTGTCCAAAAGCTGAGGTTATAATAATTAGCTGAGAGGTATGACCATAGTCTACTGATGGAGAACAATTTCAATTATGTATATTAAAAGTCCACTAGAAGGGACTTTGGGGGGAAACAGTATCCTCTGCAGTAGTGCAAGGGAGGTACAAAAGTCCTGCAAGTAATAGGGTTGTGGAAAACTGCAATTCTGCATATAACTGCCCAAATGTAAAGATCTTAGCAGGGGACACTATGTACTGGAAGGCACAGGAAGTATGTCTGGGCAGGGGTCCTTGTCTAGTGTACAAGAACCTGGACAAATGAAATTATGCACATTATCAGGACAAGAAAAGGGGATTTAGGGGCCAGCAACCCTGGTATACTGCAAATGGAGGGCAATAGGGTTAGATGAACTAAGCTGCAATTATGTATATTAATGTCCAAGGGACATGATGTGGTCAATTAAAATCATGTACCCTGTACAAATGTAAGGATCTTGAAGTAGTAGGCACTCCTTGCTAAAAAGCAAAGAGAATGGGGAGAGGATGGTCCTCATCTAGTGTACAGGAACATGTACAAATGCAGTTATGCACAACAGCAAGCCATGAAAAGAGGCCTTAGTGATCAGTACCCCTGCTGTACTACAGAAGGGGTCTGAGAGGGTAGGATCTTATTCATACAGGATGAGCCATGTGCAATCATACACATTAATGTGCAAGGTGCCTGGCTGTGGTCAATTACAGTTGTGCACCTTGACTGTCCAAATGTAAGTCTTGTGGAGTGGGCCCTTCCTGCTGCAACAGAAAGGGAATGAGGAGTGGAGGTGGACTTGTATAGTGCACCGGAACCCAGACAAATACAATCACATATATTAATGGGATAAGAAATGGGACCTTAGGGGTCAGAATCCTTGTGGTACTTCAAAGGGAGTATGTAGGAGAAGGATCCTAATATAATTTTCATTACATATATTAACTGTTTGTGACTGAAGCCTTAAGTGGACAGTACTCCATGCAGTAAAGCAGAGTGTGAAAAGAGCCAGGGACACAAGTTAGCTCAAGGGGCAATGGACAATTGCAATTACACATATTCACAGCCCCACAGCTTTAAGGTGGTCAGTAACCTGTTTTATGAATAGAATGGGGAGGGTCCTTACCTGGTGTATAAGTATGGGAATAAATAAGTATGTCCAAGAAAGTGAATCTTGACTGGTCACAAGCCCCTGCAGTAATGCAAATGGTGTAAGGAAATGGGATCCTAGTCTAACATAATGGAGCATAGATTACTGTAATTGTGCACATTTAAACTGTACAAGAGAAGCAGCCATAGTTGGTCAACACCCCTATGCAAGGGAGGTGAGATGGGATCCTTGCCATAATTCTGCACATTAGCTGTCCAAAAGACTTTATGTAGTCAGTAATCCCTGCTATAATACTAAGAACTCAAGATATTAGCTTATCACAAGGGCACATGCACATTAAGAGTCCCAAGAGAAGGACACAGCATCACTAAAATCCCCTGATGTAAGATAAGAAGGGAGGGATGTTAATTTAAAGAGAGGGACAATGAACACTGGAATTTTGCGTGTAAATACTCCCAGAAAAAGTAACTGAGGTAATTAATATATTTTCTTGTAAAACAAAGAGAGTACAGGGACTTAAGCAAAAGAGTCATTTGTGGTCAATTACTATAGTTCACCCTAGTATAAGTCTTGAATAAAGGGTATCCATAGCTGAATACGAGGAAAGTGAGTGGGGTCTTTATATACTGCAGAGGAATAGGGACAAATGTAGTTGTGCATTAACAGTGCAAAAGAAGGGGCCTTGGCATTCGGGACCCTCTGCTGTAATGTTAACAGGGTACAAGAGGATGGGATGCACCACAACAGTCCCAAGTACCCTCTGTGGTAATGCAAAGGGAGTAAAAGGGATTGGAAACTAGACTAACAGAAGGGACCATAGCTGCAGGTAAAGCACCTTAAGACTCTCCAAAACCCTCCCATGTAATAGCAAGGGAGTAGGAGGGAATGGAATCGTAGACCAACAGAAGGGAACACAGGTGCAATTACCACTTTGACAATACCAAATGACCTCCCAGGTAATGTCGAGAGAGTCATGGGATCCTAAACTAACAAAAGGAACCACATTTGCATTTAAGCAAATGCACAGTTCCAAGTACCCTCTGTAGTAATGCAAACAAAGCTGGAGGGCATGAAGCCCAGACAAAGAGAATGGACCACAGCTGCAATTAGATACTTTTAACAGTCCCAAATACCCTCTGCTGTAATGCAAAGGGAGTTGGAGGGCATGGGAAATGAAACTAACAGAAGGGGCCATAGCTGCACGTAAGAACTTCACAATCCCAAATACACTCCCAGGTTATGTAAAGGGAGTTAGAGGGCATGGGATCCTAGATTAACAAAGGGGACCACAGCTGCATTTAAACACCTTTCTGTCCCAAATACCAATAATACAAAAGCGTAGAAAGGGATGAGATCCTAGAATTACAGAAGGACCACAGTTAAAAATGAACACGATAACAGTCCCAAATATACTCCCAGGTAAAGGGAGTTGGAGTACTTGGGAAAGTAGACTTATCAGAAGGGACTATAGGTGCCATTAACAACTTTAAAAGTCTCAAATACCTCTGCAGTCATGCAAAGTGAGACAGTCAGGAATGGGATCCTAGGTGAACATAAGGGACTGTACTTGCATTTAATAAGCACATTAACGGTCGCATGTGGTCTCTGTGGAAATGCAAATCAAGTAGGGAGGGATGGGATCATAGACTAACAGAAAGGAGAGTAGTTCAATTAAGCCAATTAACAAGTCCCAAGCAATCTCCACAATAATACAAAGGGAGTTAGGTGGGGATGGGATCCTAGGTTTAAAAAGGGACCATACCTTCGTTTAAGCAAATTAACAGTCCATTGTACATTGTGGTAATGCAAACCGGGTAGGAGGGAATGGGAATCTAGAGCAACAGAAGGGACAGTAGCTTCAATTAAGCCCATTAACAGTCCCAAGTATCCTCTGCAGTCACGAAAAGCTTGTTAGGTTGGAATGGCATCCTATGTAACATAAGGGACTGTTGCATCACTTAAGCACATTAATAGACCCTTGTACCCTTTGTGGTAATGCAAATCCAGCAGGAAGGGATGGGAATCAAGACTAACAGAAGGGACTGTAGCTGAAATAAAGTCTATTAACAGTTCCAATTACAAAGGAAGTTAGGTGGAAAGAGATTTCGAGGTTAATAAGGCACTGGACCTAATTTAAACACATTCACAGTACCTTGTAGCGTCTTTGGTAATGCAAAAGGAGCTAGGTGGGAATAGGATCCTATGTTAAAAAGGAACTCTACCAACATTTAGATAGGAATAGGATCCTACGTTTAAAAGGAACTCTACCAACATTTAAGCACTTTTACAGTCCCTTATATCCTCTGTGGTAATGTAAACTGTGTAGGAGGGGATGAAAGGCTAGA